CGGGCTGCGTGCTTCGCTGTGCGGGCAGTGCCGCAGGCACCGCTCCCGGCGTGCCCTCCGTTCCCCTCCGTGGCTCTGCGCAGCCCCGACACCCGCGTGAAGCCCGGTGCCTCGCCAGCCCCAGCGCCCTGCGCTGCTGCTGCACGGTGATGCTGCGGAGCCTGGCCAGAGTTCAGGCTCAGCATCCCCTGCTGCGGCCACGACCGATGTTGACCCTTTCACTGTGCCTGTTTCCACCCCTGCAGTGGACCAAAAGGTGGGCTCCCCAAACACACGACGACTAGGAGCTGGCTGAGAGCACGAGGCCACGACCCCAGTGTTTGCCAGGGGGAGGCTGCAGTACAGCGTTTGCATGAATGTCCCTGTAAGGGGAAAGCTTGATAAAGAGCCTCCCCTTCCTGCGTGCGCCAGGAGTGGGATTATTTCAAGCACCAACGTCTTTTTCGCTGTCCCCCCAGGAGCCCGCGAGCTGTCACACGGTGCCCTGGGACAGTGGGTGCCTACAGAATGGCCTCCGTCCCTCGCTGCTCTGTGCCCTCAGTCGCTCGCTCTCGCTCACCCCACAGAGAGCTCTGCCCAGGCAGCCTCCGACGGAGCTGGTGCACCTCGAGTGCTTGGTGGGCTGAGTTTAACGTACAGCCCGGCTGACAGCAACCACACCAGGGCTCCGGCCATGCTCCAGACAAGCACCCCTGGCACCATGCCACAGAAACCCCCCCCCGGCAGGAGTCCTTGCAATTTAAATAAATGCTGGGGCACTGTTTCCCTTCGTATTATTTAGGTGTCTAACTCCCTGCTCGCTTCCGCTGGTGACGCTGGGGGTCTGGGCAGGCTGGTCCTGGGGGGCAGGGTGCTCTGGGCTTCCAGCCCTGATTTGTGAGGGCCCGGAGTAATTTACTCTGTAAGGAGACAGAATGTGTGAAGAGAGTTGTAATTGTTCTCACTAGACACGTGAAAGAAAACTTATGAAGATGTTGTGTTTTAAGATCCTAAGGAGGTTCTTTTCAAATTTATCGTGAAATTTTTCCCAGTGGACCCCGGCCATCTGAGAGAAGAGCTGACCAGGTACAGTACTTGTTCTATTACTGTCTGACCACACAGTCTTAGATTCTCCCCATTGCAAAACATGCCTTTAATTCCTTATCTTCATCTACCCAAACCTGCCTGTTAGCAGCGGTTATTCTAAGTATTGTGTAATTTACAAATCAAAGACCAAGAGAGTAGCTTTTCTTGATCCTCTGTTTTTAAACAAAATCCACTTGAAGGATCAGCCGTCTTAAGAGGCTGCAGTTTGTTTACTGCCAAACGCTTTAGCAGTTGGGCACCAAGTCTGCCTTCGCTCAGTCTAGCTCCCGCCTCAAGCTGTGTTCTGCAAGAAGAACTTTATTTTTAAAATGACATTGTTACCTCGTGTGTTTTACAGCAAGCGCTGCAAACAGGAACTAAGAACAAAACTAACACAGTGCTTCTGCAGAACATTAGCCCCGAGACATGCAAATGCCCTCCAAAGCGTAAAGGAATGTTAACTCTGAAACCTACCAATGGGCATTTCAATGGTGGGGCATGCTGCTCATGGTGGTGCCCAGCTGCAGCCTTCTGCAGGGGCTGCATGCTCCCCTCGTGACCTCGCGGACCTGCACCCCTTGGGCTGAAACACGGGCGAGTGCAGGGAGAGGCGCGGGGCAGACAGCCCCCCGCAGCAGAGCCCTCGGGGCTCAGCCCGGCACC